TGAAGTGCTTATGACCCATCTGGTAGACCCCAGTGGTGGACCAGCTGCGCCATCTGTGAGGGCGTATGATTGTTTTGTTCGACTCGGCTGGTGTTCAGGGTTATGCTTGGCTGAATGAAGGCAAATAAGCCTGAAACAGTTCTGTATCAAGTTACTTCCAAACACTATCATTCCTCTCCGCTATATGTATATATAGTATTGTTTACCGACAAACACAGAGCACACCACTAAGGCCTTTTCGGCCTCATTTGGCGTCATCAGATGGTGGTAGCCCAGCTCCAGTGTAGCAACGGAAATTTCCGCCACACCTGAGTTTCGAACTCGCGTCTCTCGGGCCAGAGGCGAACGCTCTAACCCTTGAGCCATGGGTCCGCCGTATTGCCCGTTTGTGATCGGTGACTTTTCGCATCATTCGAATCATCGCTCCAGATGTGTGAAGCAAACAGAGAGAGTAAGAACGCCATGCGACGGCAGGTGTCAACACTCCTCCTCCAGCGCAAACCTCGGACGACGATCTCGATCCGAGGAAGAAGGCAGAGGACTTATGAGAATCAGAAAGATGAAAGATATCGTCACCCTGCCAGCCGACAAGGGACGCTCAACAGTGATCATGGGTAAGACTGAGTACACGGTGAATATACAAGGGCTGCTAGGAGACGAAGGTAATTACCAGCTTTCGGGAGCTGGAGGATTCAAGAACCACATGAACAGCGTCAACAGGGCGATTGACAAATTGAAGCCTGGGGCCCTCAAAAGAAGAGAGGCACTGACCAAAAAAGCCACAGACGCTGGGACGGCTCGTTTCTACGGTCTGCCAAAAGTGCGTAAGCCAGGAGTGCCCCTTCGTCCCATCGTCTCCATGTGTGGCATTCCAACGTTTGGACTGTCAAAATGGCTCTATCAACGGTTCCGTTTCCTCTTCAAAGACTCCGAATCTACAGTTAGGTTGGCCGAACAGTTTCTGACGAACATAAGGCATCCAGAAATAGATTCAGACAAGATAATGGTATCGTTTGACATGGTGTCCTTATTCACCTCTATTCCAACTGCCCTCGCGGTAAACACAATTAATTAACTTCTTAAAGAAATACCTCGATCATTGTTCGTATCTAACAGTTATCCCCGGTCCTTCATATGTGAGTGCCGCCGAAAGCCCATCTGGAACCGACCAAACGGCGAAAACCGAAGTTTTGGCTAGTAATCCCCTACGTGAGAAATGTTTTGGAGGCAACAGCTAGACTCCTGAACCCTTTCGGTATTGTGGTTGCCCATAAACCGGATTCGATCATCTGACAGCAGATACTGAGACCTAAGGACCCGCTACCGGCAACGGAACAATCAGCAATGGTTTAGAGCATACCGTTCCAAAATTGCAGTGCAAGATATGTTGGTGAAACGAGTAAACGTCTCTGCACAAGACTGTACGAACTCCAACTTGTAGTCAATCGCGAGGATAGACTGTCCTTGGTACACGGCTACGTTGAACGGGAACAGCATAGTTTCGCTTTCGAAAACGCCAAAGCCATCGGCTGATCCAACGACAAAATGACTAGATTAGTGCTTGAAAGTTGGGCATCGGTAGGCATAATCAACGGAAATATTGATTTAAATCCAGCCTATCAAGCCCTCCGTATAAGGCTTCAATTAGCCTCGAAGATGCCGCTGGCGCTAACGGGCGACTCGCATCTTCGTCAACTGTGGTCACCGCTGCGGCAGGGGGGAGAACTAATCTCGGCCCAAACGACCGACGAGAGTCGTCCGCCCACCTACGAGCCCAAATATGTGAGCGAGGTCTGTACGTTGAACGCCAATCGGTCCAACCACCCGAGTATGAGAGGAGATCTGATAGCAGCCGGCCAAGTGCACACGACACACATACAGTCCTGACAGTGACAACAACAGACGCGACAGGGGACACTCGC